AGTTAGGATTGTCCGTTGTTGCAGGAGTTCCTCTTATCCAGTTTTCAGTTCTGTCTCAGGGGTAATTTTTCCACGAGTAGTTGTAAATTGGCTGTGTCCGGGGGAGGAGGGGAGTTCCGAGTCTGCCTATGCCGCCATCTTGACTTCCCCATCTGTCTTATTTTAATCATATGCTTTTCATTCCTCCCACCCCACCCCACTCTAAAATATCCCCAGAAAAGGATGGAGACCTGAAAACTCAAGTTGAAAAGCTTTGGAGAGAAGTCAACGCCCTGAAGGAAATGCAAGCCCTGCAGTCAGGTGAGATCCCCCCTCATCCATGCCTCCTGGTCTCAGAAGAGGGAGGAAAAGAAATTGTGAGTTGCCAGCAATTCAAACCATATCTAGAGTGCATGTCAAGTTCTAGGTGACATCCTGTCAATGTCTAGAGACATTGACAAGCCAGAGATGTGTCCAGGAGAAAGGATCCAAAAGCTAGGGAGACCATTGTTTTGGGAAATTAGCTTGATTTTTCCATTCCCTTCTCCTGTATATGGGTGGACTAGAAATAAAAATAGGCATTTCATAATACATTTTAAAAGTCCATCCATAACTCTTCTCTAGGGTCAATGAAACAGAACTGAAGCAAGTATTAACTAGCTAAAATAGTTAGCAATCATTAGATGTTTACTAAGTGCCCATTGGGAGATCTGCCGAGGTTCAATTAAACTCAGGGTCACAGAACTCACTCTGGCCACACTGGGCATCAGATAAACATAGAAGGACATTGGTTAGAACCACAGCTGGCCAACAGAGGGCAGCATCTGGCATTCCTTTTTCATGGCAGCAACACTCCCAGCAGCCTATGTGGCTGTACACACTACTGATCAGGAGCTACTCTCCTTGGCTCCCAGGAGCGAAGACCACACTGGGTAGGTTCAAGAACAGCCCTGGCTTGCAAGGTTCATACTCCCAGGCCCCAATACCTCACATAGCAACTCCAAAAGCAGAGCTTCAAGGGTACTGCAAGAGACCTGTCCAATTACAAGAGTTACTGCCTCCAGGGAAGACTGAAGTTATGGCTTTCCATCAGGTATTTATAACTCCCAGGCCAGCTGTATGTTACCAATCCAGGGTCATTTTTGCCATAAGCAATGTTGCCTTGTAACACTGGTGACATATTCCCCTTATCAGGTTTCCAGAAGAACAAAATTAGAAAGTTAAAGGAAGGTCAAATGCATTTGCAGAAGAGGAAAGAGTTTTGTTAACCCTTTATCCACAGTCAGGCATATAAATACTTTATAAACATTAACACATTAATCCTCCAATAATTTATGACATAGGTGCCATTATGATTATCATCATTTTACAGATGAGGAAACTGAGGCACAGAGAAATTAAGTAATTTCTCCAACATTTACACACCTAGTAAATGTCGGAGCCTGATTCTCCAACACTTTGCCCTAAAACTATCTTTATGTTTGGTTTATCCTGGATAACATAAACGATATTACCAGGGCTCAGTATCTGCGTAAGAAAACCACCTCCTCTCCACATGCAAACTCAGGCCTTCTTTTAAAAAATAATTATAAAATACCACCCGGTTCCAAAAGTCCCATGGAAATTCAGCACATAATGGAGTGAGACAAACTAGCGAGCATGTGTATATCAAAGCAGCATGAGGCTGAAGACCGTGTTTTGAGGGTGGGACAGACCTGGGTTTATGTGGTTATGATCTCATATGTTATGTAAGTTACATTTTTACATGCTAAGTTGTTACAAGTAACAACTTCTCTGAGCCTCAATATCCTGATATGTAAAGATGATAGTAATAAAATCCCACTTCACAGGATTCTTGTGATTATTACATGAGTTCATTTATGTAAAGTGCTTGGCACAGTGTCTTACACATACAAAAACTCCAATAAATGTTAACTCATCCTTATCACACATCATTCATTCATCAAATATTTATTGGTATTTGCCAGGTCCACTCCTAGATGGATTACACTCGAATAGCATCTTAATACGTCAAATTTTGCATCTTTACAGTCTGTCTCCGAGGCACAAAATTTAACAAGAAATGCTACCTTGCATCAGAAAGCTCGAAGCACTTCCATGATGCCAATGAAGACTGCATTTCCAAGGGAGGGACCCTGGTTATCCCCAGAAGCTCTGATGAAATCAATGCCCTCCGAGACTATGGTAAAAGGAGCCTGCCAGGTGTCAATGACTTTTGGCTGGGCATCAATGACATGGTCACAGAAGGCAAGTTTGTGGATGTCAATGGAATCACCATTTCCTTCCTCAACTGGGACAACGCACAGCCTAATGGTGGCAAGCGGGAAAACTGTGCCCTGCTCTCCCAATCAGCTCAGGGCAAATGGAGTGACGAGGTCTGTGGTAGCAGCAAGAGGTACATATGTGAATTTACCATCCCTTAATAGACCCTTCTCAAATGCATCTTCCAAGCAAGATTGGTCATGATTTATAGGCTGACGGTCCCCAAGAATAAGTTAAAATTGTCACACGGGAGACTGTGTCCTTAGGAATATAAGAGTCAGCCAATTTTGCTACCATATTTCATTGTCTTTGCCCTCCATCTGGTATGGAGGATCAGAAAATAATGATCCAGCCATGTGCACACTGCTCAAGTGGCTTCTGCAAAATGGACCATCAAATCCTTCTCTCTTGCTAGTCCCTCTGACTTGTATAGACCAGGTCTGTGTTAAAAATACGGTAGCTGGAAAGCAAGCTTAAGCTACCTGGAAGATTTTCTCTTGAAAGTTTGGTATATATTTGATTGATGAGAATTCTCTGAATCAGAGATTCTAGGTGCTATATAATCCAAAAACTTTCCATCTGAGGCTCAATCTACCCCATGCTGGTCATAGTGTCTTGTTAGACCACTACCCTTTCTTTGAGCTGCTGCGTCTCCCGGTGGGACTTGTATCTTGTCGGCCACATCAGAACACAAATGTCTCAGAAATGTTCTAATTTAACTGTTTTCTTCAAGACCCCCTCCCCCCACCATACACACACCTTTTTTTGGAAATGCCCAGTTAAGATCTGAAAGGAAATGATAAGGCAGCATATTTGGTCAGTTTCCACTCCCAGCATTGCATTACAATTTCTGACTTGAATGGGTAACCCCAAGGTAGAGCAGAGCAGCAGACTGTAAGGGAAAAGAAAATAGGAAAAACAAAATGTCTACTTTTCCTTTGCTTTAGCATCCTTACCCTCCTTGATGAAATCGAGGCTGGACATTATATATGTTAGGTTCCTTTTTTTACATACTTTATATACTTATATATATTTCAACAATCATCATATATTTAAGCCTATTAGGGGCAATCTATCTTTGGAGCTTGAAAATTGGATTTAAGTAATACTATTTCGGAGTCACACGTCTATGCAATATTTTATTCTGTCAAGTGCTATTCCAATTAAATAGTTTAATTAGATTGTATAAAATAACTTCATTGCTTAATATGAAACTACAGCTTAGGCTTGGGGGAATGGGCTTTTTAGAAGCCAACAATTCTAAGTACATTCTGTTCCTCAAATAACTTTTTTTTTCTTTAAATGTTGCATGTGTTTTGTGAACAGTATCCCTCTATGCAAACTTTAACTACATGTGCTCAGAATTAAGTTTTAGTTCTTTTCATTGCACAATAATAAAGCCTGAATTCTGATCAATGTGGATATATTTGGATGTTGATTACAGTTAATCAAACTATGTTGGTTTATAACAAACTTGGCATAATTTTGGGGAAAATACCCTGGATTTGATCAAACTGGTGATTTAGATATACTAGGAGAATAATTTTACCTGACAATACAGAGGTAAAGACTTGGGGGGAGGAGGGGAACTTTAAAAAGAAGATGGTACCTGCAATTGTTTTGGTTGACCCTGGCCAACTCCCTACTCCAACACAACCATAATCTCCTTAAAGATTATGACAATAATGAAATTAGTAGACCTTAATGGTAGTAGATTCTCATCATATTCCAGGTACTATTCTAAATTTTACTTAGTTCTCATTCATCTCTAGAACAACCCTGGGAATTAGGATCTAGAATTGCTTCATTTCACAGAAGAATAAACTGAAGAAGAGGGATGTGGTACCTTGCCCTACATCACATACCAGGAAGTGGTGGAGTTGTGAGTAGAACCCAACAAGTTGACTCAGATCCTACATCCTTAGCAACTATGGGGGAGCTATGGCAAGGTCAAGCCTGTTCAAGTATGCAGTAGAAGTGGACGCTAGTCCATTCTCCTAATTTCCTTCATCTGGGGTAACAATTTGGGCAAACAGCTGACCTTGATAAAGCATTTGTTCAAGCTGAATAAAGAGAACTAGTTCACACAAGTCAGTGTCAGAGTTTGGGTCCCTAGGAGATGGGGTTAGATAAAATGATCCTTCTCCTAAGCACTCCAACCAGAAAGATCAAGAGAAGCAGCTTAATTCAAAGCAATAGATGAAGGTTACTGAGGGGAAATCAAAATGAGTTAGCAAGACAGAGCAGATGGGAGACAGAGCAAGACTGAATGGAGTGGATTAAGAGATTATCTGGTTTGCCAGGGGTCAAACTCATGACCTTGACTTTATTACCTAGCCAACAAATTGACCAAAAGCCACATCCACAAGATTCATTAACCTAGACTTCCCGTTGGTCTATTTTGCTTGTTGAGCACTATTTAGCAAACAACAATTTGTCTTCAGGCGAGATTGATAAATAGGTCTTATCTCTTAGGCCAACTTTTCTGTCTCCATGAAAGCTGCCTGGGCTATAGTAGGAGGAGCATCCTGAAGCTTGGTGGAAAGAGTGCCATGAGCAATTAGCAGCATCTCTCACAAGTTCATGGTAGGAGGACCTCCACATTTGGGTCATCCCTAGGGTAAAGACTTGACTTCCTGCAGATGTCAGTTATATTCAAAGCCCAACTGTCAAGACCCTACAAGCCTTACCAGGAAGCCGATTCTAATCTCTAGAGCAGTGCTTCACAAACTGATTTGTGCTTACAGATCACCTGGGAACATTGTTAAATTGCGGATCCCATAGGTCTGGACTGAGGCCCTGGATTCTGCATTTCTAAAAGCTACCAGAGGAAGCCAACAGTGCTGGACCACACAGCACAGTCTGATAGCAAGGGTCTAAAGCTGTAGCTACTTGCCTGGGGACAGTCTTTGTTAATTCCAGCAGTTTTGCTTCCCTTTAACTCAAAAGTCAAGGGTAGGATCTGCAGTTTGTCTGAGTGAAGAACAATAATGAGAGCAATTTTTCTACCCACCACAGATGCTTCCATCCATATCATTAAATGAAGTCCAAAGGAAAAATCAATTTGGTAAAGGAAACATCAATAATTGAGACTCAAATTAGTGATTTGAAGGAGGACTTTGCAAGGCTCCATGGTTACTTTCTCTTCCCTAACATTGCTGAATAGCATTTCTTAAACCACAAATAAAGATATAAAATCTTTCCTGCTCTCAGATTAGTGAGAACTTTCATATCCTCACCAAATAAAGCACATCTAACAAATGAAGACGCTCGCTAATTTTAGCTACTTAAGAAGCTAATTTAGTCTGATGTAAGAAATTCAAAGGGTACCTACTAACTATAACGCACCATGCTAGGTAATACGGAGGGACAGCAAGGAAGTAAGTTATGGTCCCTACACTCAAAGATATTACAACCTAGCCCACAGGAGGAGGGCAAGACTAAACCTTTCCCAGTGGTTGCCACCTGACACTGGGGGCAATGAAACTCTTTTTCTGCTGGAGACACTAAATTGGGACAAAGTGAATTTAGGACTTCTGAGAAATCTTCCCCTCCAGATGGATGCAATGTGCAGGATGAAGCAAAACAAAGATAAGCAGTGATGAGAAATGGTGGGGCAGGGAGGGAGAGAGAAAATGTGTGTGCATGTGTGTGTGTATGTGTGTGTTCACAGAGCCGAGTTTGTCATTCTTAAGGTCCTGGTTTCTACTTCCGTCCACTCTATTAACTACTCCACAATCCCTTCAAGCTACACAAGACAAGTTATCTTTTTCATTTGAGCGAGTTTGAGTTGGCATATCAGCAGGATAGGCTACATTTTGACCTCACAGAGCTTGTATTTAGGTAGGCAAAACATACAATAAATAGGCAGAGAAATAAACAAGATCATTTCCAAAAATGATATGACAAAATGTCAAAAGACTGACATGACAAAACGGCATAACAAAATGACATAATGAAAATGACAAAGAAGAAAATAAAACAGGGAGATAAAACATGGCATGACCAGGGCGGGCAACATCAGACATGGTGATCAACTCTTCTAATACAGCCCTCTCTGTATGAGAGAGAATGGAAAAGAAAGCGATCTTATAAATCAGCAGGGCAAACGTCCAAGAAAGAGAGACCTTGAGAGAAGTGCCTTAACCAAAATCACCCAGCAAGCCGGGGACAAGGCAGGGACTAGAATTCTATTCCTGTGTCCCAATCCAGAACCTGGAACACACCAGCCCAGTTCAAGGTCAAGTAAGGTCAAAGGACTTGGAGACAGAAGACCCAGACTCCACACTTACTATGTGCGTGATTTCAGGTAAGAATAAACTTTTGGGCCCCCACTTCTTCATCTATTAGTGAGAATGATAGATCACCCACAGAACTGTGAGCTTAGATTTGAAAATACAATTTATGAGCAAGCAAACACTCTAGATATGGCATCTCTAAAAAAATAGTTTTGTTCCATTATAAAGCCAAAATATCTCACTACTATGAAAAATTGGAAGAGTAGAAAAAACGTTTTAGAAATTATCCTTCATCTTGGTCATTTGCCCTCATTTATCCAATTAATATTTATTAAGCACATGTATCCAGCAGGGTCTGATTCTATCACCACCCACACAAAGTTGTAGAGGTTATCTCATCAGGCAATGTTATACCCTGCTTCATTTACTTATAAAAAGAAGCCTTTTCCTAGCTTTTTCATAATGTGCTTTCCAGGGTTCCATAAAATCTGAGGTGTTATTCATTGAGCACATACATGACTGCAATTTTTCAAATGCATTTATGATTGGAATTTTACTTAAACATCTAAATAGATAAATGTTTAGTATTCATTTAAATGAATGGAAATTTTGCTTTGAATTTTTCTTGTTCTATAAATAATACTGAAATGAACATCCTTGTGGTGGTTTCTTTTTCTTTTGGACTTTAGAATTTTCTCCCCTGTTTAAGATGGATTTCCAGTAGTGTAATTATTAAATTAAAGGATAGGAATAACTTTAGACACTTTGCATCATGGTGCTAAATTACTTTCCAAAAGGATTGTGCAAATTAAACAGGCAGCATGCCCTGTAATGCCACCAACTTTGGAGTCAGTCAGTCCCAGCTTTGAAGACCAGCATCCATGTACACTAGCTCTGTGACCTGGAACATGTCATTTTACCTCGCTGAATACTTTCCCAATTTGTAAATAAACCAATAAAAGAAAAATAATAATGTAAGGGGGTTCATAATAGTCACCTCAGGAAATTGTTAGGATTAAAAATAAACACAGAGTTGGAGCTGGCCTGGTGGCATAGTGGTGAAGTTCACACGCTTGGCTTCTTCAGCCGGCTTTATGGCCCGGGGTTCACAAGTTCGGATCCCGGGCCAGACATATACACCACTCATCAGGCCATGCTGTGGTGGCATCCCATATACACAATAGAGGAAGATGGGCACAGATGTTAGTTCAGAGCTAATCTTCCTAAGCAAAAAATTAAACACAGTTAAATTTTTTTTGTAATAGTTGGTTTGACAAATATTAATTATTCAATCATGCTAAGAAAAAGACCAGGATGGTTGTGGAGAGGGGTACTTGGAGCAAGCCTCACAGGTAACCGGTAACATTATTACTACATTTGTATATTCATTTGGGTTACAAAAATTTAAGCTGCGCTAAGAACTGGGAATATAGTGAATAACAAAAACAGGAAACTAGAATTAAATAAAACGTAATCAAGGGCCGGCCCCGTGGCTTAGCGGTTAAGTGCTCTCGCTCTGCTACTGGTGGCCCAGGGTTCGGATCCCGGGCGTGCACTGACGCACCGCTTCTCCAGCCATGCTGAGGCCGCGTCCCAGATACAGCACTAGAAGGATGTGCAACTATGACATACAACTATCTACTGGGGCTTTGGGGGAAAAAAAAGGAGGAGGATTGGCAATAGATATTAGCTCAGAGCCCGTCTTCCCCAGCAAAAAGAGGAGGATTAGCATGGATGTTAGCTCAGGGCTGATCTTCCTCACAAAAAAAAAAAAGGACTTAAAAAAACAAAAGTAATCAAAAGAACATATAATTACAAACCACGACAAACATATTTTTAAATAAAGTAGGAAGAACAACGAAGGGGCTATAGAAGGTCTCAAGAAGTGACACCAAAAGGACGAACTTCAAGGGCGACTAGTGCCCTTAGCCCAATGAAGGGGTACACTTACCAGCAACCACTTCTGGAACTTTTTATGTGTTTGGGGCGTCCCCACGCTGACATCCCTGGGAGCCTCAAGAGAGCTACAAAGTGGGCGGTGAGTCGAGGCGGGAGGGGTGGGGCCCCGCGCCAGGGAGTGGCTCAGCAGAGGATCCCCGGGGACAACCTCGGGCAGGTCTGGGGAAGGGGGTCAGGGCGATGGGCGCGGGCACTACGGGGCCCGACGGCGCCGAGGCGCT